CTGTGCCTTTCTCTGTTGAGACACACGCTGCTCGTCGTTGACCTCCTGGCTCGCAGTGTTAGGCGTTAACTTCTGATCTGAATCAGCCACACCCTGGGGTCCAGCCTCGCCCTCGAACCCACACTGGCTGGTAGTCTTGGACCCCATCACCTGCCTCTCAGCCTCATCTTCTCCCTCTGCGACAAGCGCACAACCACAGCCCCTCCGTGTCATGGCACACATGGGTCAGGCCTTCGGGGTCTGGGCTTGGTCAATCAGCGGACTGATGGCAGGGGAGGCTCTGCTTCTCTGTCCCAGCGCAGAAGGATGGCACACCTATGATGTAATGCAGGTGGTTGAGTCTGAACCAGCTTCAGAGCAAGCTGGGAGGACCTGCGGCAGGGATGCAGGGGGGCTTCCTTCAACTGTCTGCAGCACAGCCACACAATGCCCACCAAGTGTGGGGGAGGGAGCCCCTGGGTCAGCTTTCTGCCTTGGGGCGAGCCAGAATGCTGAGGAAGGGCCAACGGCGCAACTGGGTGGAGGCCTCCCCCACAACCCTGCCTCCTGCCACCTCAAGCCACTAAAAATCCATACCGTGCCCACAGCGCCTTTCCAGTTTCCATCGCTCTCAGGAAGCGCCCAGACAGTAGGTTTGGAGTTGTGGGACATGACAGGGCTTCTCATCTGCCTTCAAACAATTGGCCATGTGGCTGGGCCATGTTTCCTGCTCATGTCTAGAAGCCTTCTGCGTGTCCCAGGACCAGGTGGGTTGCTCGGTTGTGAGTTCCCTCTGTGCTCTGGATTCCCCTCACTGCCTCCAGGATTTAGCGGGTTGGCGAGCCTGTCGCCACCTGCCCAGCTCCCATTACTCACACCACCCTGTAGGCTGGAGGCTTACACTTTCAACCAAGGAGGATCCTAGAAAGGATATTGGTCAGGCCCAGCTTTGAACCGTGCTCAGCCATCCTTGGAGCGCCATTGAAAATCTATTTTAAGGCTGGGCACCTATAATCAGAAAATATGGGAGGCAAGGACCGGGGACTCGGATCACCTTGAGATCAGGAGTTCGGGATCAGGCCTGGCAACCATGGTGAAACCCGTTCTCTACTAAAAATATGAAACGTAGCCAGACATGTTGGCGCATGCCTATAATCCCAGCTACTCAAGAGGTTGAGGCAGGAGAATTGCTTGAACCCAGGAGGCAGAGGCTGCAGTGAGCATGAGCCGAGATGGCGCCATTGCACTCCAGCCTGGGCAATAGAGCGAGACTCCATCTCAGAAAAAAAGAAAATCTTAAAAAAGAAAGAATGTCGCTGTCATGCAGAAATACCTCTGACAAACATGAGGCCAGCTAAGCTGGGGTGGGGGCTGGGTGGCAGCCTCTGAGGAGGC